TGGGCACTCAGAGAGAAGGTAGCTGGCTGCAAGCCAGGAAGAGGGATCTGCTGGCATCTTGATCTCGGACCTCTCAGCTTCCAGAACTGTAAGGAAGAAACCTCGGTGGCATTTGGTCATAGTAGCCCGAGCTGACTAAGACGGGCTGTATCAAGGTCAGGACTAGGGTGAGGCATGTAGGATGCACAATGTAAAGAAGTAGCCATGGTCAGGGTCATGCGGATGGAGGCTTGGCACTCACACAGCCCCGAGAGCGGGTGCCCCCTTACGCTCCTCACTTGTCTCACCCTAGCCCCAGCCCTGGGGAGTGCACTCTATAACCCAAATTAAAGGGCTCAAACAAACAAGACAAAAAATAATAACAAGTAGATTGTGTCACTGAGAAGTGCAAGAGAATGGTTGTATTTCTAGCTCCATCGCCAGGCCCACTTTCTCCTTCCTCGGCTTTGTTCTCAGCTAGGCTTTCATTTTGGAAACAAGGTGGCCATGGGCATCTGCGATCTCAATGTTTTCATCCACTCGCCCCAGGGAAGATTCTGATTGGGTCTTCTGGATCACATGTCCATCCCTGGGCAATCCTTTTGTCCAAGGGTGGCATGTGCTGATTGGCCAGACTTGATCAGATGGCCAGCCCTGTGGTGGGCAGGTGAGTGCCCCATCCGCACCCACTCCACCAGAATCACTGAGTTAGAAGAGCAGGAAATCCCAAATGAGAGAGACTAGACGTGTTGACTGAGGTCACTTTCTTCTCTGTCACCTGTAGTTTTACAGGAAAATGCTACAGAAAATTTTAGAATTTTCTCAAGTAATCTGGGCCTTATAGGTGCATCTGTATAGAGTTTAGTTGAGATGCCCGAGGCTTCAGGTCACAGAACTATGGTGCCTTCGACAGAACTCCTTTGGCTGCCATTGACAGAATACCTCAGTCTGAGCTGGTTTAAGCGAAAAAGGAGCTTTTTTAACTTGTGCAATTAAAGTGTCTAAGAAGGGCTCTGGTGAGGAAGAAAGTGCTGACAGACCTGTCCAACACTAATTCTGTTTTGTTTGTTCAGAATTACAGCCATGCCGGAATGGACACTGCGTTCCCCGTTCTCCAGTGGAGATAGGTGTGGCCATGCGACAAAATATTAGTCGGTGGAACTCGAGAGGAAGAGGGGTTTGACATCTGGGTGCTGTTCTCATCTGGACCCTGCTTTCCCTCCCTCCCTCTTCCTCCTTCCTGGGAAGTGGCAGTGACCAGACCCCGTGGAGACTGAGCTTCCGATCTTCCCAGGACAGTCTGCCCACCTGGGTGGTTTCATGAGAGATCAAGAAACTCACATCCAACGGAAGTGACTGCATTTTGGGGTCCAGTTGTTATACTAGCCTCGCATGTGCTTAAATAATGTAATGGGTTTACGGGGTGCAGGATAAGGGGGTTCTGTGTCATTGGGATCTGGTTTGCTTCTCTTTATCTCGTTTCTCTGCTCTTCTGTGGCCTCCACTCTGCGGCTCCTGGGAGCCATCTAGGCCGCACCTCAGCCATACCCAGGGTGAGTCTTTGCCCCCGTATTCAGCGCAAGTAACGCAATTAACTCTCAGTCAGACAGCTCACCTCCTGTGCCGTGTCTGGGCTAAACGGTCCATCTGGGGGAAGGCAGTGTCCTGGGAGGGGGACACCGGAGTGAAAATGCTGACTGCAATAGAAAGAGGGGTCTGGGTGGGGGGGAAGCAAACAGAAATGGAGACTAAAATAAGCAGCTCTAAGTGTTGAGAACTGAGCGAGAAGAAGGGGTTGAAACAGTGATGTTTGTGTGTCTCACTCATCTCCAGGGCACCGGAACCGTGCGGGACTGTCTGTCCGGCCGGCGGTGTGTGGCTGGGGAGCCCTGCAGCCCTGTGCCCACCACGTACATGGGGCTTCTCTGTGATCTCTCCCTTCCCCTCCCGCCCCGCTGTGTCCCGCACGTTAGGGGAAAGAGTTGGTGGCCGTCAATCCCGTGAACAGTGTGGCACAGTCTGTGTATCCTGCATGAGTATCAGTTTGACTTCGCCCAAAACAAGAAAATAAAAGCAGCTACAGAATTCAACTTTGCGGTTTGAAAGATCTCTGTCTCTCCACATCTAGTTTGATATTTTCTAATTTGATTCCCATCTCCTCACTTCTAGCTTAATTATTTATGGGTGTTGGTTATACTTAACATTAACTTCCAAGGGCCAGATTTCTCAGTCTCAGCTTTTGTCAGTAAGTGCTCGTGATCCCGAGCCAGGCCCTGCAAGCTCCTCCTGCCTAAATTCCCTCACTGTTTCCACGATGCTGTGGGTTCAGTCTACAAACGATGTACTGGACCAATGCCTTCCTTGAGCAGGTTATTTCACGGCAACCATGGACAGTATTGTGTTTTTAAAGTTCTAAGCCTTCAAAACGAATTCTCTCAATGATTTTTATAATTTCCTCCCCTTTTGGTTTAAACTTAAAGCATCATTTCCTTCGAGTGACAACCCGATGACAGCTGTCAGTTTACTCTATGGCAGAAAGAGCTTTCCCTGCCCAAAACCTTGCTTTTTGCTTGTCCCAATTTAGCCTCAGTTCTCCCAGGACACATTCTTGGGCTTTTCTCTCCTTTAACTGACACCCATCAAACCAAGGTGAGGAAACGCTAGTGTCCCAGTGAGAAAAGAGTCATACAGTCTTAGAGTTGAAGGGTCTTCAAACGTCAGAAGGTCAAAAAGCCCACTGAACAAATGGATTTTCTTCTCAATAGCTCTGACCAGCGGTCCCCCAGCCNGCGCAAGTAACGCAATTAACTCTCAGTCAGACAGCTCACCTCCTGTGCCGTGTCTGGGCTAAACGGTCCATCTGGGGGAAGGCAGTGTCCTGGGAGGGGGACACCGGAGTGAAAATGCTGACTGCAATAGAAAGAGGGGTCTGGGTGGGGGGGAAGCAAACAGAAATGGAGACTAAAATAAGCAGCTCTAAGTGTTGAGAACTGAGCGAGAAGAAGGGGTTGAAACAGTGATGTTTGTGTGTCTCACTCATCTCCAGGGCACCGGAACCGTGCGGGACTGTCTGTCCGGCCGGCGGTGTGTGGCTGGGGAGCCCTGCAGCCCTGTGCCCACCACGTACATGGGGCTTCTCTGTGATCTCTCCCTTCCCCTCCCGCCCCGCTGTGTCCCGCACGTTAGGGGAAAGAGTTGGTGGCCGTCAATCCCGTGAACAGTGTGGCACAGTCTGTGTATCCTGCATGAGTATCAGTTTGACTTCGCCCAAAACAAGAAAATAAAAGCAGCTACAGAATTCAACTTTGCGGTTTGAAAGATCTCTGTCTCTCCACATCTAGTTTGATATTTTCTAATTTGATTCCCATCTCCTCACTTCTAGCTTAATTATTTATGGGTGTTGGTTATACTTAACATTAACTTCCAAGGGCCAGATTTCTCAGTCTCAGCTTTTGTCAGTAAGTGCTCGTGATCCCGAGCCAGGCCCTGCAAGCTCCTCCTGCCTAAATTCCCTCACTGTTTCCACGATGCTGTGGGTTCAGTCTACAAACGATGTACTGGACCAATGCCTTCCTTGAGCAGGTTATTTCACGGCAACCATGGACAGTATTGTGTTTTTAAAGTTCTAAGCCTTCAAAACGAATTCTCTCAATGATTTTTATAATTTCCTCCCCTTTTGGTTTAAACTTAAAGCATCATTTCCTTCGAGTGACAACCCGATGACAGCTGTCAGTTTACTCTATGGCAGAAAGAGCTTTCCCTGCCCAAAACCTTGCTTTTTGCTTGTCCCAATTTAGCCTCAGTTCTCCCAGGACACATTCTTGGGCTTTTCTCTCCTTTAACTGACACCCATCAAACCAAGGTGAGGAAACGCTAGTGTCCCAGTGAGAAAAGAGTCATACAGTCTTAGAGTTGAAGGGTCTTCAAACGTCAGAAGGTCAAAAAGCCCACTGAACAAATGGATTTTCTTCTCAATAGCTCTGACCAGCGGTCCCCCAGCCTCGGTTTGCTCACCTCCGGTGAACAAGGATTGTCAGGTCTCTGATGCTGTTGGCCTTTGTGGATCGTGCAAATGATTATTAGCAAGATCCTCCTGGAGACCAACTAGTAGCCTCCCTCCCCCATGACACCTGCTCTTCAGAAGGGCTATAGGACGGTGCTTACCCACCGAACCCTGTGGGACCTGGGGCAAGTATCTCCCTCTTCTGAACTTCGGTTTCCGTAAAATGTGGACGCCAGTATCCATCTCATTCCTTTGACAGGGCTGGCACCCTGGCGCCCCGCAAGTTAGCGGTTAAGGTCAGCTCAAGCTGCTTCAGGAAGAAAGGCCAGTGGGGAAGTCCAGTCCTGTGAGTGCCGGGCCTGGCCCCCCTTCAATTTTATTCTCTAGGCCGTAACCCATAGTGGTTACACCCAGGAGCTCCATGCCAGGCTCTGGAGGCTAAATGTGGACCTGGTACGTAATTACCCAAGGGGGGACCGACCTCAGAAGGTACAGGGCTTAGAACGGGCCTGGCACTAAGGGTTTACTGAGCACCTGCTCCAGGCCAGCCTTTGGGGGTACCATGAAACCAAGTCTCAGCCCCAGGGAAACTCACCTTCGGGTGGGAAAGACAATACAAATGTGGCAAAATGAAATCACCCAGGGCTGGGTCCGGGATGCCAAGGAAACCCAGAGAGCCAGTAGCTTAAGCCCTGGCAATCTCCCTGCCCTCCCGCGCCAAGGTCAAGGCGAACCCTGGCAGCACCACCTCCCCAGACACCACAGCAGAGGTGCGAGCCAGCGCTTCCCAGGG